TGGCAGGTCTTCCTCCATTACTTCTGATATTCTCGCTCTCCCTTTTACTGTCTCTTCATATGGGACTTGCAGTGCATATGTTGGTTCACTTGATAATTAGGCAATACATTTTCTCAATTTTTTAATGACCAGAGTTTTATAAATACACAAATATATATCTATACTATGTAAATCTAAATATATATAAAATATTACTGTATGAGCGTCTGTCTCTGTTTGCTTTGTGGCCATTGAACCCAGTGCCTAGTGTATGCTAATAAGCAAGTGCAGTACCACTGGGCCACATGCCCAGCTTGATATATTGTTTCAATATGGTCTTGTATTTCAAAATGTAATAAGCTTAAAATTTTAACTGTTTCTATACCAATATTTTATTAGCTTATTAAATTATGTTGTTTAAATTGTTAATGCTCTCAGATGTGTAATACATCAAATTTTATGGTACCTACTATACAGCATATTAAGAGTTAGAAATTTAATTTCCATTGCAAATATCTTAACAGGAAAGTCAAGAAATGGATGAATGTATATTTCTCAGTACAGAGTGCAACATAACCCTAATAAAAGAATCAGAATAACAAGGTTTATTCAACTAGATTTTTGCAAATGCGATTTTTAAAAAAATTTTTATTTTATTGGTACATTTTAGGTATACAATATAATGACATTCATCATTGGATTTGCACCTTTACACAATCTCTCTTGGTTCTTATTCTTTCCCCATTCCTCTGCCCTCCCTTCACCCCCTCCACCTCTCGCTGTTTACAAAGACTTTGTTTCCATTTTTTCATTTTCTCATATTAATTCCATTCCCTTCTTTCCTTTCCCCTACCCCTCACACTTCCCCTTCCCCTTTGCCCCTTTTCTTCCTATTTCACATTATCTATTATACCTTTTAGTCCTTATTTACACTTTCAGTTTCTCACACTAGAGAAACTATTTGGTATTTACACGTGTGTGTCCTATTTATTTCACTTAAGAGTATCCCCTCAATGTCCATCCATTTAGCTATAAATGTCTAATTTCTCATTTTTTATGGCTGAGTAGTACTCCATTTTATAAAAAGACCACATTTTCTTTATCCAGTCTCCAGTTGATGGGGATTTGGGCTGTTTCCAAGTTTTAGCTATTACAAACTGTGCGGCTGTGAACATGTGTGCACAGATATCACTGTGGTATGATTCTTTTAATTCTTTGGGGAAGATGCCCAGCAGGGGAATAGCTGGGTCAAATGGGACTTCCAGTCCTAGTTCTTTGAGGTATCTCCAGACTGATTTCCACAGTGGTTGCACCAGTCTACACTCCCACCAGCAGTGCAGCAGGGTTCCTCTTTCCCCACAGCCCCACCAGCATTTGTTATTGGTTGATTTCATGATAGCAGCCATTCTTTCTGGGGTGAGGTGGAATCTCAGTGTTGTTTTCATTTGCATCTCTGGAATGACGAGCGATGTTGAACATTTTTTCATGTATTTATTTGCTATTTCTACTTCTTTGTCTGAGAAATGTGTGTTCCTTTCAGATGCCCATTTTTGGATTGGGTCTTTAAATTTGGGAGGTCTAATCTTTTTAAGTTCTTTATAGATTCTAGATAGTAGACCTCTGTCTGAGGGACAACTGGTGAAAATTTTTTCCCACATTGTGAGTTGTCTCTTCACATTGTTGGTGGTTTCTCTTGCTGTCCAGAAGCTTTTTAGTAAGAAGAGATCCCACTCTGGTTGATTGTGCTAATTCACGGGCAACTGAGGTTTTGTTCATAAAATCTTTTCCTACACTAGTGTCTTCAAGAGTTCTACCTCACCTCTGTTCCAGCCGGTTCAGCATTTCTGTTTTACTATTTAGATCTTTAATCCATTTCAATTTTAGTTTAGTGCATGATGAGAGATATAGGTCTAGTTTTGGTCTTTGGCAAGTTGAAACCCAATTTTTTCAGCACCGTTTATTAAAGAGGCTATCTTTCCTCCAGTGAGGGTGTTTGGCTCCTTTGTCGAAGATGAGGTGGCTGAGTGTGTCTGGAGTTGTTTCTGCATCTTCTCATCTGTTCCACTGGTCCTCAGGTCTGTTTCTTTGCCAGTATCATGATGTTTTTATCCCAGTAGCTTTGTAGTATAGTTTCAAGATGGGGATTGTGATACCCCCTGCCATGTCTCTGTTACCTAGTATTGCTTTTGCTATTCTGGATCTCTTCTTGTTCCAAATGAATTTTTGGATTGTTTTCTCAAAGTCCGTGAAGTATGCTGCTGGGATTTCAATTGGTATTGCATTGACTCTATATAGCAGTTTTGGAAGTATGGCCATTTTCACTATGTTGATCATTCCTACCCACGAGCAGAGGATGTCTTTCCATTTTCTGATATCGTCTTCAATCTCTCTTTTCAGAGTGCTATAGTTTTCAGAGAAGAAGAGGTCTTTGATTTCTTTGACTAGGTTGATTCCTAGGTATTTCAGTTTTTTGGATGCTATTGTGAAAGGAATTGTTTGCCCTATTTCTCTGTCAGTGAGTCTGTTGTTCGTGTAGAGGAAACCTATTGATTTTTATGTGTTGACCTGCAAATACAATTTTAAATTTAGTGTCTGAACCTGGTTGAGTTCCTTGGACATTGATTCATAGGAATAAAATCAATAATTTTATTGGATAATTTTAGTGAGGTCAAGTGTATATTTGATCAAAATAATTTTGATTAATAAATATTTATAATAGGATCATCAAACTGTTTACGTATCTAGGGTCCTTAGTGTTTTGTGTACAGGTTGGCCCTGTCCATCCACATGTTTCCATCATGAGTATATATAGTCATGTGTCTGTTCTCTCAGAGTGTCTTGGAATATGAATTACTGGCTTTCCCAAGTAATTTAGTGCATTTTTCTTTAATTCTTTATTGAAGTTGCTTTTAGGTTGTTGCTTTGAGATAAATTGTTTCTAGATTGTTGCTTTGAGATAAATTGCTTCTAGATTCGATTATTGCCAAACTAAGGAAAATACCTGTATTTAGAAAGGGAGTTACATATTCTGTGTGAGACATTGTAGAATTTAGAGTGAGGTTATTACCAACCCCCACTAATGTTATTAGAGCCAAAAAGCTGTGATTTTTAGACCTGCCATTGTTGATTAGTTGGATAGTAACTTTACTGCCTCCAGAACCTCATGTCTAAAATGTAGACACTTATGTGATTTGTAATTCATTCTGAATTTTTATTTCTTGAATTCGATTTTTTTTTTTTTTTTTTTGGGTACTGGGGATTGAACTCGGGTCCTTGCACATGCAAGGCAGGCACTGCAACCACTGAGCTAAATCCGCAACCCTGGAATTCAATTTTTTTACATACGGTGTCAACACTAGTCAAGGGAGTTCCCCTCCTATCATTTGTTCTGCTAACCACAGTATTGCCTTTAAAATCTCTGAATTTTTTTTTTTGTATCGGGGATCGAACTCGGGACCTTCCACTTTCGAGGCAGGTGGTGGCACCACTGAGCTAAATCCCTGGCCCACCACAGTATTACCTTTGTAATAGTGTTTCTCTGGTGTAGGTTCCTCAGAAATTGAGTTCCTGCTCCTTTCTTGCCTCAAAAGTTTTGCGAGTATTTGAGTCACAGAATCCAGGTCCACCCATAGTAGTAGCTAGATCTTCATCCTTTCATATGGGTTGTGTTTAGACCTTCTTTTGCCTCCTTAGGCTCTTGTATTTATCTGACAGCCATTGTGTTCAGAGGTAGGATAAACTACAGAGCTTCCTCTGTTGATAAGTAGCCACCTGCTATGTCAATTTTGTGAGCTGATTGAGTTAGTGAGTGTTGGCTATCGTGTGTTAATGCCATTGAGTAATGGGTAAACCTGGTTGATAACGTTGGACTTTTGGTGGGTCAGTTAGCATCATCTCCTTGCTAATCTACTTCTTTTTTTTGAAAATTTTAAGTTATCCTGATGAAGGAAAGAATTTTCCTTTGTTCACTTGTCATAAGATGTAATATAAAATCTTTGAGCAGATTTATAGTCCTTTTAGATTTGATTAGAAAAATAGTGTAAAACATTATAAAACGTATCATTCAGTGAAATGTCTAAACGTCTATAAATTATAAAACAGATTTTTAAAAAGTAATTATATTTCTATTTTAGTTCAGGCTATTAGTAGTAGACATTATAATGAAAATACCCAGCCTTCAATACTCAGGCATTTATTTCTGGGATCTTGAGTGCTTACAGATGGCTTGGATAAAGAAATCTATGTGGCATTCCCATTCCCCATATCACCTGTGTGTCTCAGGTTATATTGTAAAAAGATTTCTCTTGTATTTGCAGAGTTTTATACTGGGATTTAAAAAAAAGTGGTAAATTGTGCAAAAAGTGAAATTGGGGAAAGGGAGTTAGAAATAGGTGTGGAGGAGGCAAGAAATCAAGGAAGAGGACTGAATCATCCTTGTAGCAATAAAGCTACATATAAGAAGACTGTTTTGTTGCTTTCTCATATGAATACACTTTTCAATTTCCTAAACTTTATATTAGAAAGACTTTAAAAAATTACGATACGGGAGCCGGGGATTTAGCTCAGTGGTTCTGGCGCCTGCCTCACAAGCACAAGGTCCCAAGTTCAATCCCTGGTACCAAAAAATAAAAAATAAAAAATAAAAAATTATGATACATTAGGTACTTCTTCATTTAATGCTCACAGGAGAGTTTTATGTTCTTCAAATGGTTTTATTGCTATAAAGGCTATAAGCTCTAACTGTAGGCAGTAGGAAATTGTATTTAGATATAATTTTCCTAATTAGTAAGGGTGATGCCCTTTTTTTTCATTTAAGTTACTTTCTAAAGTTGGTTATATTTCATGTTTTTGTCTTTAAGCACAACAGTGCCATAAAACTTTTTTTTTAATTTTTAAAGACTTTTAAGTGTAGCCTGGCTAAGATAATCAGTTCCATGACTCATTTATCTTGTGTTTATTCTCCTTGGGAATTTGGTTTACACTGTCATTCTAATGCTGATTATTGATTGTTTTCCCCTCAGCTTGGATTTGTGGCATCATCTCTATCACTGTAATCAGCCTGCTCTCTTTGCTGGGTGTGATTTTGGTTCCCATCATTAATCAAGGCTGCTTCAAATTCCTTCTCACATTCCTCGTCGCACTGGCTGTAGGAACCATGAGTGGAGATGCCCTCCTTCACCTGCTGCCTCATGTAAGAGATCTTTTCAGTCTTTACAGAGTTTAAAGTAATTAAGCATTTGGTGGGTCAGCCTCATCTTGCTGTTCAGCTTCTTGTTTTTGAAAATTGTAAGTTATCCTGATTAAGAGATGAATTTTTCTTCAGTAACAAGCTGCAGCATTACTAATGTAGTAGTATTTGTGTTGTTTTGTTTGCAAATAAGACAAAGTGTGTTTTTTTCCGTTTCATTGTTTGTTTTGGTACCGGTGATGGAACTCAGAACCTTGTGCTTGCAAGGCAGGTGGTGGAACCACTGAGCTAAATCCCTGGCCCCTGTTTCATAGTTTTAATAGCAGGATTTCTTAATAAATTGAACGATTAGATTGATAAGAGCAGCAGTGAGCGATCTTGTTGTGTATGACCTGTGAGGAAAGCCTTGAGGAGAAGTGTGAGGGCTTGCTATGGTGACCACGCGCATGGCCAGGGAAGCACAGCAGTGAGCGCGCTGGTGGGCTTTGCTTATTTTTACCATTTGGTATTTAAGTGTCCATGTTTGCTTCCGTTTTCAAAGTCCGTGCCTCTCCCTGTTGTTCCTTCTGATTTGAACTTTTCCTACAGTATCTCTCTCAGGCATTTGAGTTTGTGATCTTGGTTTAACCAGGAAATGTAGTATACTTGGCAGCTGACTAAGTTAAATGGAAGTCTGCTCTCTTTAAATGACACAGTGTCTAGAGGAGCAGTTTGAATGTTAAAAACTGCTCACGTGTGGTCTCACTCCTGTGTGCGGTCTAAAACAGTTCTCATACAAACTGAGAGTTGGGTAGTGTTTCCCAGAGGCTGAGGGGAGCAGTGGAGACCAAGGACAGGGAGAGGTGGACTGGTGTGGTCAGTGGGTGTTGAGTTCGAGTTGGTTGGGAGAAATTCTGGAGTGCTGTTGCACAGTAGGGTGGCGATAGATAAGGATAATTACCGTTTAGCTTTTAAGAAGCTACAAGAAAGGATTTCAAATGTTTCCACCACAAAGAAATAAGTGTGTGAGGAGCGAGAGATGCTTGCCCAGATGTGAACATTGTGTAAGGCACACGTAATTGAAATATTATGCGGCACCTTGGATATATGGACAATTTTATGTGTCAGTTTGAAAAACAGAAAAATAAAATGTGAAAACAAGATAAAAACTAAAAGTTATTTTTCAGTGTATCTCAGAATGTGAAGTAGCCTTTCATCGCTTGTTTAGAAGCATTCTTCTTGTTGTGACAGTCGCAGGGTGGACAGGACCATGGCCATCACCACGCGCACGGCCACGGGCACGGACATCCTCACACACATGAGGCCGAGGACTTTCTAGAGGCGTACGACGCTGTGCTGAAGGGACTCGTCGCTCTGGGAGGCATTTATGTACTGTTCATCATCGAGCACTGCATTAGAATGTTTAAGCACTACAAACAGCAAAGGGTAAATGTTTTTAATTATTTAATTTTCTGAGACACAGTGATTAGCAGTTGTAAGTAATTGAGGACAGATTGTGATCAGTGTCTGATTACAAAATGACAAAAAAGAAAGCTTGTCTGTATTTCGCAAAGCTCTTCTGAGTCGGTTTCTGTAGGTTTTCGTGTGTCCCAATTTCATCGTTATAGTAAAATCTCACTGCATGTTACAGTTGAGCATTATGTTCAGTAAATTTAACAGGCTTGCCCAAGTCCCAGAAGTAAGCTATGTATTTAGGATTCTGACTCATTTGATCCTGTTAGGTCACACGCATGCAGATTGCGATGACAGTAAATAGAGAATAAAATTCAAAGGAATAAGCTTTAGTTTTTGAAACTTTGTTACTTTGCACTATTAAATAAGAACTATTACACCCATCTCAGACATTTCACTTGGGTTGCATTTAATGATTGAGTACTGTGCACACTATTAACTTTGAAGTAGATGAGGAGACTCTCTTAGTTCATTATTTTAAAAAGTATACAAATTGGTTGGAGATTTAGCTCAGTGGTTCTGCCGCCTTGCCTTGCAAGTACAAGGTCCTGAGTTCGATCCCTGGCACCAAAAAAATTTTTAAAAGTATATGAATTTAGGTAGAAGGTTCATCTAGTTAGATCCCATGATTAACTTCTAAAAATTTTTTCTTACCCATTTTGTGAACAGTTTTATATATAAAGTTAATTTGTCACCCAGGAGTCTGAACAAGGGGATACTGATTATTACTTGTTATGGCTGAAGATTTTATAATGATGTCTGATTTTTTGTTTTTCAGGGAAAACAGAAGTGGTTCATCAAGCAGAGCACAGAAGAGTCAACTATTGGAAGAAAGCTTTCAGATCACAAGTTAAACAACACACCAGACGCTGACTGGCTCCAACTCAAGCCTCTTGCCGGTACTCAACATTTCTGCCTAGAGAGGAACTTCTAAGACAGAGAAACTGAGATGTTGCTTCTAAACTGGGTTGTTGGAGATTTCTTGCCTTTGTAACTTCCCTAATACTAGTTTCTAACATGTTTTTCCTTCAATGTGTGTCTTAATTATGATTTTGTTGATTTTAATTAATTTCAACCTTATTTATGCTGGGCTATGGGGCAAGAAACATTTTGTAGTTCTAGTTATAGGAAAAAATAGAAGTAAAACACAAAATGCCTTTCTAGTTAGTAGACTCCAGTGTCTTTGTCACTGAAAGTGCATGATCTCGACCCTTCCATGTGTGCTGGTTTCCTAAGGAAACTTGCCTTTGTACCTAACAGTGAAGGCCCCTGGCCTTGTATTTAAACTCTCTGCTTGAGCATCCATGCACTCTGGTGCCCGATAGATGTAATGAGGAACTTACAGCTTTCAAGGAAACCACAGTGTTTTTAGTGTAATTTTTCTCACTTTCTATTCGAACTTATTCCTCGAATGCAGCAATGATTTTCTGCACAAAAGGGCCACCTCATATGTAGAACTCAGCCCCAGAACCCCAGAACACAGTTGGGAAGTATCAAGAGGTCGTAAAACAAATAACTGGAAAACGGCGAAAGGCTGCCCACAGTGCTTTTAGAAACTGCTTATCACTTATCACCTCTTGCATGGGCTCTGAGCTTCATCCGAGCCGTGACCTCTGAGTAGCATTGTCATTAGGCAGAAGGGAAGACTGTAGAGAACTTGGCCATCAGCTGTCTGCAGGACATGAGCAAGCTATTTAAATTGTGTTTGCCTTCATTTTCTTAAATAAGAGAAGGTTAGAGAGGTTAACACTAAGAATCCTTTCTCTGAAAAATTATTTTATCTTTGTATTTAGTGGATGGATTTCAGAAAATTTGTTCTGTTGGACTAGCTTCAGATGATTTTAGGGAAATAGATTTACTTAAGACTTTTGTAAGACATTCACCTAGGAAGTGTTCGCCCACACTGGTGTCTGCCTAGGTTTGAACAGCAGTGTGCTGAGAAAGCCTGTCCCTTTCTGTTGCCCAGGGACTGATGACTCGGTTGTTTCTGAAGATCGCCTCAACGAAACTGAACTGACAGACTTAGAAGGCCAGCAGGAGTCCCCTCCTAAAACCTACCTGTGCATGGAAGAGGAGAAGAGCGCAGAGCACACCCATAGTGATGGGCTGCACAACCACCAGGGCGGGAGCAAGGCCGTGCCGCGGAAGCATGTCCATCAGTGGCACCACAAGCACTCCCATCACTCACACGGACCCTGCCACTCCGGCTCAGACCTCAAGGACACGGGGATCGCCAACATCGCCTGGATGGTCATCATGGGGGACGGCATCCACAACTTCAGTGATGGGCTCGCCATCGGTGCGTGGCCCCTGGCCCCTGGCCTGGCCTGCTGGCCGCCTCTTGCCCTGAGGGGTTTCCGCTTCCCTGGGCTGTGCTACCGGCACGGGTGTGGCTCTCCAGGGCTCCGCAGGCACGCACGCACACCACTGTTGTGTGGCTCCTGCCCTCTGGTCTTTCCAGGGCGCATGGTTTTGGGTTTGACAGGTATCTTTGGAAGTGAAAATGGATTTGAGGTTTTAAAGTTTATGTTGGTTTTTGAGACAGGGTCTCACTGTGTACCTCAGACCTGCAGCAGTCCTGCCTCAGCCTCCCAAGTGCTGGGGTCACAGGCATGCGCCACCTCGCCTGCCAGTGTTCGGGGTTTGGGAAGACTAAACATGATTATATGTGCTGCTGCTTAAGTTGCTTGGCTTCTGATTCAGAGCACAGTCGCCTTGTTGAAAAAGGTACCTGAGCCATATATTTTCAAACACATTTGCACATCCCTGAAAGAGAACAGTTTAATTTCAGTCTTGAGTTTAACAAATTTTTCATATCTTTGGGAAGAGGAAGAAAAATTTTACAGTATTAAAAATCCATTGTAACAAGTTCAAATATATTAGAATCTTGCTAATATTAACTCACATTTCCAGTTTGGGAGAACATTACGTATGATCAGTATGTGATTTTCCTTAAGATCCAGAATCTGTTAATTCAGAAGCAAGCAGGCTTTGTTTTCTGTCAAAAAAAGTCGAGACCGTATTTTGCAGCCACAGTAGGTGTTACTAGTGAATGATAAAAACACATACAGTGTGAAATGAATGGAATGAAAATGGGAAATAAAAACTCATAAACATCACTCTTTTTCCTTTTCTCCCTTTAACCTTCCTCAGGAGCGGCGTTCAGTGCTGGGCTGACAGGAGGAATCAGCACTTCCATAGCTGTTTTCTGTCATGAGCTGCCACATGAATTAGGTAATGTGACCTGGAAATTTTACCAGATTTCTTCAAATCTGAGGCTTCGTCACTTGTAAATATGTCCAGATTTCAGAAATATTGAAATAAAATGACCAATGGCAAGTATAAAGTATATTAATTGTATGGTGTATCCTGATGTAAAATGGGAAAAAACATGCTTGTGAAAATTGGGAAAATGTGAATTCACTGTACTTTGCTTTGCTTTCAGAAACATAATTATGCTGTTATGATGACATATCAGATATTAAAACCAGTTCACTGGGGCCGGGGATTTAGCTCAGTGGTTTCACCGCCTGCTGTGCAAGCGCAAGGACCCAAGTTTGATCTCTGGTACCAAAAAAAAAAAAAACTAGTTCACTGAACATACCGTTTTTTTATTGGTGCATTTTAGGTATACATTATGATCCCACTCGTCATAGGGAATTTGTACCTGTACGTGATATATCCTGCTTCTTTTTCCCATTCCCCTCCCCTCCCTTCAACCTCACTTCCCCTCCTTATTTACAAAAGCTTTGTTTCCATTTTTTCCCTTCTATTCTTTTTTCTTCTCCCTTCCTTCTTTTCTCCCTCACCCCTCTCTTGTTTCCCTTCTCATTTGAACACTTTTTTTCCCATTTCCCAATATCTTTTATACATTTTGGTCCTTACTTCAACTTTTGGTTTCTCGTACCAAAGAGACAATGTGGTATATAAACATGTGTGTCCGATTTATTTCACTTAAGAGTATGGTCTCAAGGTGCATCCATGTAGCTAGAAATATCTCAAGCTTATCCTTCTTTATGGCAGAATAGTACTCCCATTGTATAAAAATCCCACATCTTCTTTATTCATTCATTGGTTGATGGGCACTTGGGCTGTTTCCAAGCTTTAACTGTTACAAACTGTGCCACTGTAAACATGGGTGTGCATATATTGCCATGGTGTCATACTTTAAATTCTTTTGGGAAGATACCAAGAAGAGGAATAGCTGAGTCAGATGGAACCTCCAGTCCTAGCTCTTTGAGGTATCTCCACACTGACTTCCACAGTGGTTGCATCAGTCTGCTCTCCCACCAGCAGTGGAAAAGCCTTCCTTTCTCCTCACAGCCCCGCCAGCATTTGTTATTGGTTGATTTCTTGATAGCAGCCATTCTTTTTTGGAGTGAGGTAAAATCTCAGCATTTTCATTTGCATCTCTTGAATGACCAGTGACGCTGAACATATTTTCATGTTTGTTTGCTGTTTATACGTCTTTGTCTAAGCAATGTCTGTTCATTTCAAATGCCCATTTTTGGACTGGGTCTTTAAATTTGGGAAGTGTGAATTTGGTTTTTTTTGGGGGGGGAGTATCGGGGATTGAACTCGGGACTTTGCGCTTGTGAGGTCTGATTTTTTTTAAAGTTCTTTATAGATTCTAGATAGTAGACTTTTGTCTGAGGAACAGCTGGTAAAATTTTTTCCCACACTGTGGGTTGTCTCTTCACTCTCCGGTGGTTTCTCTTGCTGTGCAGAAGCTTTTTAATTAGATGAGATCCCAGTTGTTGATTCTTTGTGATGGTTCCTGTGTGATCTGGGTTTTGTTCATGAAGTCCTTGCCTCCACCAATGTCTTTAACAGTTCTACCTGTTCTCTCTCCCAGCAGATTTAGTGTTTCTGTTTTAATATTTAGATCTTCGATCCATTTCTATTTTAGTTTAGTACATGGTGAAAGATAGGGTCTAATTTTAATCTTCAGCCTGTGGAAAGCCAGTTTTTCCAGCACTGTTTATTAGAGAGAATATCTTTCTTCCAGTGAAAGTGTTTGGCTCTTTTTTCAAAGATGAGGTGGCTGAGTATGTCTGGAGTTGTTTCTGCATCTTCTAATCTATTCCACTGATCCTCAGGTCGGTTTCTTTGCCAGTACCAAGTTGCTTTTATCACAGTAGCTTTGTAGTATAATTTCAAGTCCAGGATTGTGATGCCCCCTGCCTTCTTTGTTGCCCAGAATTGCTTTTGCTATTCTAGGTCTCTTCTGGTTCAAAATTAATTTTAGGATTGTTTTCTCTAATTCTGTGAGATATCCTATTGGTATTTTGATTGGGATTGCATTAATCTGTGTAACAGTTTTGGAAGTATGGCCATTTTCACTATATTGGTTCTTCCTACCCAATAACAGGGATATCTTTCCATTTTCTGATATCCTCTTCGATCTCCTTTTTCAGAGTACTGTAGTTTTCCATGTGAAGGTCTTTTACTTCCTTCGTTAGATTGACTCCTAGGTATTTCAGTTCTTTGGATGTTATTATGAATGGTATTGTTTACCTAATTTCTCTATCAGTGAGTTTGTTATTTGTGTTCAGGAATTGATTTTTGAATGTTGACTTTGTGTCCAGCTGTGCTACTAAATTTGGTTGTTAAATCTAGAAATCGTTTGGTGGAGTTTGTGGGGTCTTCTGTGTAGAGTATTGTGTCATCTGCAGATCATGATAATTTAACTTCCTCCTTTCTATCCTTATTCATTTCATTTCTTGTTCTTGTCTAATTGTTCTGGCTAATAGTTCTAGAGCTGTATTGAATAAGAGTGGTGATAGTGGACATCCTTGTTTTGTTTCTGATTTTAGAATGAAAGCTTTCAGTTTGTGTCCATTTAGTATGATGTTGGCTGTTGGTTTGTTCTAGATGGCTTTTACCTGATTGAGATAGAGTCTATCCATTTCAATTTTCTGTAGGGGTTTTTTTTGGTACCAGGGATCGAACTTGGGACCTTGCGCTTGCGAGACAGGTGCTGGAACCACTGAGCTAAATCCCCAGCTCTGTAGGGTTTTTATCATGAATGGATGTTGGACATTGTCAAATGCTTTTTCTGCACTTATTCAGATGATCATATGGTTTTTGTCCTTGGCTCTATTAAAATGGTGTATTTCGTTTATTGATTTGCATATGTTGAACCATCCCTACATCCCTGGGATGAATCCTAATTGCTCATGCTGTATGATCTTCTCGATGAGTTGCTGCATTCTGTTTGCCAGTATCTTACTGAAGATTCTTGTGTCTTTGTTCAGTAGGGAGATTGGTGTATAGTTCTCTTTTTTTGATTGGACCCTGGTTTTGGTATCAGAGTAACGCTTGCTTTCAGGAATAACTTTGGCAATATTGCTTTTCTTTTGAACTGTTTGAGAAGTAGTAGCGTAAAGTCTTTTCTACATTTCTTGTAGAATTCAGCAGTGAATCTGTCTGGGCCTGGGCTTCTCTTTGTTGATAGGTTTTTAATTACATCTTCAATTTCATTGACTGATACTAGTTTATTTAAAATTGTTCTATCTTCTTGATTCAGCTATGGTAATTCATCTATTTAGGCATCTGTCTATTTTTGTGTTTTCCATTTTTTTAGAATACAGGTTCTTGTATTGCTGATCTTCTGGATTTCTGTAGAATCTGTTGTGATTTCCCCTTTTCATTCCTAATTGCATGGATTTGGGTCTTTTCTTTCCTTTTTTTGATAAGATTGGGTAAGAGTTTGTCAATTTTATTAATCTTTCAAAGAACCAACTACTTGAATTGTTTTCTTGATCTCAGTTGTATTTCTGCTCTGATCTTTATAATTTCCTCCCTTGTATGAGCTTTGGGCTTGACTTTTTCTTCTTTTTCTAGATGTTTGAGGTTCAAAATTAGGTTGTTTGAGCTCACTCTTTTCCTGATATGAGAATTCATTGCTATAGATTTCCCTCATCAGACTGCTTTGGTTGCGTCCCATAAGTTCCCATATGTTGTATTGGCATTTTTGTTTAATTGTAGAAACTATCTTAATTTCTTGTTTCATTTCATCTGTGACCCATTGGTTGTTCAGGAGGGTGTTATTTAATTTCTGTGTTTATGAAGTTTTGTGGTTTCTTTTGCTATTGATTTCTAATTTTATTACACTGTGGTCTTGACAATATACATGGGATAATTTCATTTCCTTTGCATTTATTTACTTAAGTTCAGTGAGCTAGTGTGTGGTCTGTTTTGGAGAACATCCCGTGTGCAGCTGAGAAGTATGTGTGTTCTGTTGTTTTGGGGTGGAACACTCTGTAGACATCTACTAAGTCCATGTGTTCAAAAGTTTGGTTCAGTTTTTATATTTCTTTGTTGATTTTTTTTTTCTTTTGGTTTATCTGTCTATATGTGATAGTGGCGTATTGAGATTTCCCATTACAATTCTTTTAGTGCTTATTTGATTTTTCATGGTCATTACTGTTTGTTATTTGGTGCATATATACTCATGATTGTCATCTCATCCTCTTATATTGTTCTCTTTACAAGAACATAGTGACCTTCTTTGTCTCTCTCAATCAGTCTTGGCTTGAAATCCACTTTGTCAGCGAAGAGAATAGGTATCCCCTGCCTTTTTCTGGGTTTCTGTCACATGGAGTATTATTTTCCATCCTTTGACTTTCAGTCTGTGAGGTTTTTTTTGAATTAAATGTTTTTCTTGTGTGTGGCATATTATTGGATCTTGCTTGTTGATCCATTCTGCCAGTCTCTTTCAATGGTGAATTGAGACCATTTACATTGATGGTTATAACTGAGATGTATTGACTTTTGTTTGTCATGTTATTTTCCTGTTGTTGGTACACACACACACCCTCCCCCATTCACTTGCTTCCCTTGCCTGGCAGATTCTTAATGTTGGGCTTCATGCAGTTGTAGTCTTTATTATCTCTTTCTAGAATGTCCTTCAGAACATTTTGGAGTTCTGGTTTGGTGGTCATGAGTTTCTTCAGGTGCTCTTTATCATGGAAGTATCTTATTTCTCCCATCAATTTTGAAAGATAGTTTTGCAGGGTACCTCATTCTGGGCTGGAGATTGTTTTCTTTTAGAGCTTGAAATACTTCAAGCTTTCCTTGACTTGAGGGTTTGTGTTGAGAAGTCTGCTGTAATTCTGATGTGCTTTCCTTTATATATGATTTGTTTCTTTAACAGCTTTTAATATTTATTCTTCTGTGTGTTGAGTTTCTGGAATCTTGATTATTATATGCCTTAGTGTAGATTTTATTTG